TCACTACAACCGCTAGGAAGTCCATCTTTCCAAAGGTGGAATGTTTATTAGAAATCCAATTTTTAGCAATCTGAAGCTGTGTACACACCATACATTTAAAGTACAGTGGTAACTCAGGTTACAAATAGTTCTGCTTACGAACGCTTTGGGTTACGAACTCTACAAACCCGGAAGGTGTCCCGGGTTGCGAACTTTGCCCCAGGATAGGAACGCAATCTGCTTCCGGGGGCGCGGGAGGCCTATGTAGGGAATGCGCGCCTCGGGTTAAGAACGCTTCGGGTTAAGAACGGACTTCCAGAACGAATTAAGTTCGTAGCCCGAGGTACCACTGTACATGGTCCCCCCCCCAAAAAAACCTTGAGAACTGCAGTTTACCCCTAAGAAAGCTACAGTTACAAACTACAGCTCCCATATGTATGGTGTGTACAAAGCCTAGATGTTTTCAGTTGTCCCAACCCTAACTTTGCAAATAGTGTGCTGTGAATAATGAAGATTTGACCACCTTTATCAATACAGCACATTTTATTTCTTGCACTTGTAAACCAGCTGCTCTAGAAACACCCTTTCTTGACATCAACGTTTGTAGAACTTGATAACTTCAACACTCCTACACCAATTTAACTTGGTTCAATAGAAAGAAAAAGATTTTCCTACTTTGTCCTATCCAACATGCAATCTCCAATCTATTGTGCTACAATGATATTTTATAATAATTCTTCCCCCATCCCATCTACATCAATGGATACTATTAATGCCTGCAAATATCTGCAGAAACATGCATTCCAGATGAAAATCTTAGCAACCAGATACCAAAATTGCTCTACGCCAATGGTTTATGATTTAAAACCTGTTCAAATGTGCTTCCACCCCCCAGCTGATTCAGCTGTGATCCTAAGGAATATCTCAAGCCAGTAATTATCAGACTGGTTTAAAAGCTGCAGTTTGCAACATATGGTCCAGACTCTCCAAAATTCTCATTTGATCTACTGATAATCTTCTCACTTTTCACTTTCTGCCATACTCTTTTAAGTGAAATGGTTTTAAGAATAACAAAGGCTGATCTAATTTACTGATCAAAACAAGTGGCAAAGGAGATGGGGTTGGCGACAGTTGTTTCTGGAAACAACGCATTTTTCAAAAGGAGAGTGGTATTTTTGTTGTTGTTGATTTAAATTCAACATTATTACAGAAGATCCTGGATAATTTCAATGGGGAGACTTATTGCAAACCAGGAAGCTTGTTTCGATAAGGCAAAGAAGCAGCAGTCCACCACAGAGTTAACTCAATAAAATGATGCTTTCTACTTGGATTAACTGACCCAGTTTCCAGACTCCTGCATGGAAAACAAAAGATGAAACTTGGGTATTATACAGAATGGAAAGCAAAGGACAGGGTGTTCCAGCTCACTGAAGGCAGACCCTTTCCCCTCGAGCCTGTTGTCTGGTTTCAACAAGTGGCCACTCATTAGATGATGGTGGTGGCCCACAAGGAGGCCTGAGCTGGTTGTAATTTACATCACAAACGACTGCACATGGTATGGTATAATTTGGCAGAGCTGCTGATCTCTACTCCCAGGAAAGAAGAATGCATGGCTGATGATCCTGCTCTCTCCGGGCAAAACCACTCAAGCTGATAGTACAAGTTTCACCAGGGAAGTCTTGGGGATGCAGCTGGTCCATACTCCATAAAAAGGAACTTTTAATCAGAATTAAAGAGATCAGAAACAGGCCGTGGAATTTGGCAGATCTTTCTGTTCTCCAGAACGCAAGCATACCTATCTTCTTCAGAACACTTTCACAGGAATAATATCCCAGAAGGCCCTCCCCCTTGAGATTTGGCTGGCACCAGGGCTCCCCCCCCCCAGCCAGAACTCAGTTCCAGCACCTTTCAGATGGGCACAACTGCAATTCTAAGAGAACGATGGAGGTGTTCACGGTGAGTTCCTGCACCTCTTTTTCTAGAAAAAATAGCACTGACTGGCACAAAGGTGACTCATCTTTCATCAGCAACTAAATATCTTCCTCCATGCATTCCAGATATACATGTATATGGCCTGCACAATGTTATAGAGATCAGTGTCCGCATTTAAGCACAACTGATTATTCCCTTTGTTTTAATAGCATTGCATTTTGTGCCTTTACACTGTTGTTACACGTCATTTATTCATTTATGATGAATGGAAGGGTATAAAGTCTAACCATAATAACAACAACTAATAATAGTACTATCACCGAAAGAAGTGAAGCAACACCCTTTTCTGTAATTTTTCATTTCTAAAAAAGAGAGAGACCATATTATTCACTCTATGTTATGTACTGCAGAGTAACTATAACTTCAGCTCAATTTCAAATCAATATTCCATATTGCTACTGAACATAACTTTATCATAGTTAATGAAGAAAGGTCATTTGCCTCCAATGGAAGTAAGTCAGTTTGTTGTTTTAATGCGAAAGTGTACCTACTGTTCACCGCGCACACCAGCTGACGCACAAATCAGACATGCACTATCACATTTGTGTACCATTATTTGTTTTTAAAATATGGATGTGTGGGGGGGGGCTACGATATTTTTTTATGAAATGTAAAGATACAGAAATATGACACAACATTTAAGGCTGCAATTCTGATCTCACTGAGTCCAATACAACTTACATCTGAGCAGGCATGATGAGGATTGCTCACTATAAACATATAAACTAGTCTGGGCCTTCAGAGAGCTGTGGGGTGAGGTGTAGAGTAAACTGTCAGACTAAGGTAAAGGTAAAGGGACCCCTAACCATTAGGTCCAGTTGTGACCGACTCTGGGGTTGCGGCGCTCATCTCGCTTTATTGGCCAAGGGAGCTGGCGTACAGCTTCTGGGTCATGTGGCCAGCATGACTAAGCCGCTTCTGGCGAACCAGAGCAGCGCACGGAAACGCCGATTACCTTCCTGCCGGAGTGGTACCTATTTATCTACTTGCACTTTGATGTGCTTTCGAACTGCTAGGTTGGCAGGAGCAGGGACCGAGCAACGGGAGCTCACCCTGTCGTGGGGATTCGAACCGCCAACCTTCTGATCGGCAAGTCCTAGGCTCTGTGGTTTAACCCACAGCGCCACCCGCGTCCCTGACTGTCAGACTAGACGTGAGCAATACTAGGTTAAAATTCCCACTGAATCATCAGGCATACTGAATGATCTTGGGCCAATTACCAAATCTCACCCTTACCTATCTCACTGGGTTGTTGTTAGGATAGAATGGGAGGCAACTACTATGAACTCAGAGCACAAAAAAGCAATACCAATTGCCTTAGCAGTGTTTAACATTTTTCAGTCTACACACAGTCATCTGACATCTGGTTTTCCTTTTGCAGTCCCACTATCTGATTTCTGGGATTCCATGATAATGCTTTTGTTTATTTTTAGACCTTATAAGTGGAACAGTAGAAGGGGAAGGGGGGAAAATAGAATATGGTTGTCTTCATTCTAACTTCAGTGCTGGAGAATAGACTATTTGTGCAATTGCATGACATTCACTGCATAGTTAGCATGCTCAGTACAGAGTCAAATGGTGCAACTCTTACTTTTGCACACCATCCCACATGTTTTGGAGTCCCATGAAGCACTTACCTAGTCAATATGCATTATTTGTCCAGGCTGTCATTTTAATACAACCCTAATGATTATTCCTCCCTCTGCTTTGAACTTGGATATACAAACACAACAGGAACACTTGTAATTCCATGCTTAAGACTTCCCCATCTGTGCCGAGTTCAGTATCTAAATTATTTATTTTTACTGTATAACACATAAATACAGATTTGGCCTTAAAAGAGCAGTGAGAAAACTCAAGTAAATGATTTTTGGGCACCCTTGGCATCCCCCATCCCACGCAGTTAGGCTACAGTTCTGCACACCAATGAAACTACTAGCTAAAGTGCTGGGCTTGGGCCAATTAAGGCTGCAATTCTAACTTACCTGAAGGTGCCCCCATTTAATTCAATAGGACTTGAATAAGCCTAGCTAGCATTGCCCTGTAAGTGGTTGTGGACTTTTCTCAAGTTCAATTTTCCGTCTGCAAAATGGAAATAGTAGGAACCTACCCTGCAAGGTTACCAACAGAATGAATAACAATTGTAAACAGGTTGCGGGTTGCAAGTGATGTGTGCATGATCTCTACAGCCAGCAAAGCTAAGTCTCTTGGCTGTCTTAGTTTGTATCCATGTATTTTAGAAATCATTAATTACTGGTTTCATTGGCTTAATAATTATTCAGATCTACTTTCTAGATTTACTGGTCTCATGAAAAAATATTGATAGCCCATTACTAAAAAAATTAGTAACCCAAAATTACGAATTAAGAATATGCATGTTGGACCCTAATTACATTTGTTAAGCTAACTCACTGGATGAAAAGGAGGGGGGAATGGAAAGGCTGTAAAGAAGCATAGCTCAGATAAATTCTTAAAATATTACAGTAAAGACCCTGTTCTAGGAGCAATGAATTAGACAAAAGTAATGACTAATTAGAATTGAAGTTTTTATTGTGAGTTAATTTGATGCAAAGTTTTTCAAATTAAATGGTTGCAGGAAGTAAGGATCATTATTTTTAATGAAGATTTACAATAAGAATTCTAAATGGATATGTGTGATTAAGAAGAAATGATTGTAATTTAGTAGTTTTGTAATAGAGAAATGGGACGAAAATAAATACCTAAGTCTGAAACAGAAATTTATGAAAGAAAGGAGCGTCTTGGCAGTGCCCTTTCTATGCAAAACCTGCATCAAGAAAACATTCAGGGAGAAATTTCCAGTGAAAATTACCCAACTTTTGGAATTCACTTCTATCCAGAGGTTGTAAAAACTTTGAGGTTAGATGCACGGTAACATTTGGGGGAAGAAGCAAACATTTTGTAGGTTGGACTGAACTGGGGATGAGGAGTACTTAGAATCATAGAATTTGTAGAGTTGGAACAGACCACGGGGGTCATCTAGTCCAACCCCCTGCAATGAGGGATTATTTTGCCCAACATGGGGCTCAAACCTATGATCCTGAGATCAAGAGTCTCATGCTCTATCAATTGAGCTAGCCCAGCTGTCAGTCCACTGGCTTCAAAAAAGTATTTTAGGGGCTTCCGGTTCCGCTCCACCTTAATGGAGGCAGCCCCCACGACAGCGGGAGATCGTAGGCCAAGAAAAAACAAGGATGACTGAGGGTTAATAATTATTGCAAATTCCTCCCAGGGACAGGGGGAACGGGCTTCACTTGCAGTTCGTCTTGGTACCTGGCTCTCGCTCCGGCATGGATGGGGGGGGCGCAGGGAGGCACTGAGTATAAAAGCACTGAGTACAACAGCCTGGCGAAAACCCTCCAACGCTGCCATTAAGAAGCGTAATTAATTAATTAGAGCGTAATTGGACTAAAGTACAGGACTTTAAGGTTTGGAATTTGAGATGAGACTTCATTCGGTGCAAAAGACAGTGGGGGGGGAGCCTACAGTTTCTTTATTTAAAGTTTTCTTCTCTACATTTATGATTTGGCAACCCTCCTCTGAATGTTAGTTCAAATTATATTTGTACAAGTGAAGATGGAAGAAATAGGATTATAAATATGGAGTATAACATCAAATGGAACTGACTCTTCCCATCCTTTATTATCTACGAACTGAATAACACTAAGCGAACTGACTAACACTAAGAGACCATGGATTTTAATTTAATTGGAAGGATAATTCCTTATATATCTTCAGTTGGAAGGAAGGATGAAAGAAGTCTGTGAACTGCCAAGGAACTGATAAGGTTCCTTACTGAGACATCTGCAGTTCAACAGACCGCTCCTCTTCCCAGGTTGAGAGGTAAAATGGTGACAACAGGTAATATTTACTGGGACAGAGTGACTTTTGCAGCTGTTGTTAAAAGTTCTTGGTGCAAAACAACGAAGCATGGGGCAGAGCGATGGAGAAATTTCAGGAACAACAATGGGATATCAGCTCCGCCCAAAGCATGACGGATAACAGCAACAACCAAGGAAAGAAAGACATAACATCTTACAAGGAGGAACATCTTACAGGATCTTACATAACATCTTATAGGAAGAAACACCACGGACAGAATATTTGCCACACACAGGAAGAACAAGGACATAGTTTGAGTTCCTCACTTGAAGTTTTATAAATCATTTAATGTGTCAACACGAATAGAAGTTATTAATATTGCAGTTGTTGTAAGAGGAATTGTGATTATGACCAGAATGTAATTGAAAGTAATAAGATTTTGGAACACAGAAATAAAGAAAGTCATCAAATCTAGCATGCGGGGCCCCACTTTAACTAAATTATATAATTTGGTACTTGGATGACTGGTATTAATAACTGTATTATAAACTGATATTGTTATAATGAGGTTAATATCTGACTGAAATTGAAAACTAATAAAATTTTATTTTAAAAAAAAGTATTTTAGATCCTTTATAAACTAAACAGAGTTCATATGTTTCTTATTTTACTTGCCCTGCTCCTTTGGAGACAAGCTGAGCTAAAAAGTCCAAATCCATTCAGGTATTAACAGGGAATCCTGGTTAATTAACTTGAACAGGTCTACTCTAGGAAGGACTAACAGAAAAACCCTCCGTCTCATTTCCCTCCCTTGGTAAATAGGAGACCAAATGCGGATAGAGAGAAAAGTAATACCCAACTTACTGAAAGCGCCACAAAAACACATTTAGATCACTTAATATATCATTGGTTCCTAAAGGGTATCCCTGAGGAAGAGTCACTCTAAATCATTTAGCAAAACTTGAAGCAGATCACTCCACTCATTAAAGCTGTTGAAGCAGTTGGGGGGCGGGGGGAGATGGTCCTGCAAGCAGCTCACTTCCCCAGAGAGTATATAAGCGTTCAGATTATCTTTGAACTCCAGAACTACCCTGAGAAAACCTCAAATTCTTAAAAGAAGCATGCACTACAGAGAAGCTCCTTGAAGTTGTATTGAGTTTTCCAACGAGTTTTTCTATTAACATTTTATTTGCTTGGAGCAGTGGTTAAGAAATGAAGTAAAGAGGGGAAAAGTAGGTCAGTGTGCTTCTCTTTGCATGTCTTCCTGACGCCATTAAAAGTGCCTGTCAGATGACTAGCCAAGCCTGTAATCCACAGTAAAAGCATGTTTGCATTCAGCTGCACTTTCTGCCAGGGGACAAGCGGAATCCCATTTAGCTCCAACTCCCAAATTTAGGCATGTGTCTCAAAAACGCAAAGAGTCTCTTTGCGTTTGTGGATCTATATCCAAGCCAAGTCTGCAATGTGCCTGCAATAGGCAACCCGTTACAGATTTGGGACAGCTAGAATCCTAGAGATAATGAAACAATTTTCCAGCCTTTGGCACTGCCTGTAGGACCGAACAGTACAGCTTTTAAAAGTCAGTTTCAGAATCTTCACTAATAGACTTTTCACTAGAACTAGGACGAAAATCTTAAAAAACAAACAAAACCTATGCTATTTTTCTGCAACACACACAAATGATTCCACTGGAAAGAGCTGGGATAAGAGGAGAAATAAGATAACAGTTTGAACCCCGTAATCTGGAATCTCCTCCAAACCTGTGCCAAAGTTTTGCAGGTTTTTTTGCAGCGGAAACTCACGTTTTGCAGTGCACCACAAACCGAGTAATTGATACATCAAACACAGGGTTTGTACTTAATCCAAAAATTTGGGATCCTCTAGTTAATAGGACCGAAACATTTCACTGCAGAGATCCCTGTAAGTTTTCTCCTGTTACCTGCAGCACTTAAACTGCAATCCTATACATACGTACCTGGGAGTAAGCCCCACTGAACTCATGGATATACTGAACCCATGGATATATAATTGCCATGGATATACACACATAGACCATTCTTCTAAAATCCTAAATATAGGGATTATAATTCACTTATAACAGATATTTTTAAGAGTTGCCTTTCCACTGCTCGCATTCTACTTCCTGTTTTGTTTGTTTCCACCTAAGCAACACATACCCAGGTTTTGTATCAAATACGGAACATTTCAGAGGAAAGAACTGCCAAATGAGATCTAAAAAAACGCAGTTCAAGAGAGTGAAGACACTTCAATCGGATGTTATTTTTAGAGCCAAGCCGTAAGGTTAGCATCTTGGCATGAAGCCAAAGGAGCTGAAACATGGCAGAGAGCCACCGCAGTAAGCTGGCTCGTCAAGATCACAGCTTTCGATAATCCGCTCCACAAAAATATGTACGCCATACTGTTCCTGAAATAAGCACAATCACTTATTTATGTAAGATGTATAAATGCACATTGCCCTCAAAAGGTGGTGTTCAAAATTCTGTAGAAAATCCCCCAACCATCAGATTTAAAATTATACCTCAAAATTATCAGTAGCAATCAATACATAGCTATTAATAATACAGTGGTACCTCGGGTTACATATACTTCAGGTTACATACGCTTCAGATTACAGACTCCGCTAACCCAGAAATAGTACCTCGGGTTAAGAAGTTTGCTTCAGGATGAGAACAGAAATCATGCTCTGGCAGCGCGGCAGCAGTAGGCCCCATTAGCTAAAGTGGTGCTTCAGGTTAAGAACAGTTTCAGGTTAAGAACGGACCTCCGGAACGAATTAAGTACTTAACCTGAGATACCACTGTAGTGTAGCCAGAATGCCTTAAACAGTTCTCTAAAATCAACAATTATGGAACTATACACATTTCTTAAGAGGAAAGGAATTTCATGAACACAAGGCCACCACCGTGAAAATTGTTCCTGGCATTTCTCATTGATAAGCTAGAAAGCAGGTCCTCAAAACAGGTCATATTGCCACAGGTAGGCCTTCAGATAACCTGGTCCCAAAACAGTTAGGGCTATAAACACCAAAACCAAACCTTTAAATTGCATCCAGAAACAAACTGGCAGCCTGTGTAACCAGTACAGAATCTGTGCAATGTGGTCCTGTCATCAGGAACCCACAAGTGTTCTTGCTGATGTTTCCAGACAGTCTCCAAAGGCAGCCCCATGTAGAGCGCATTGCAGTAACCCAGCACATTCTGAATGAAACCAGAACATGTGTCAATGAAAAGGTCTGCTTGCAAAGCACTCAGCTGCACCTCTTTCTATAAAAAATATTAAATGTGGACCTTCCTATTGCTTAGTCAAACTGAAGCAACAACATATGACCTGGAAGAAAACGAGAGCTGGGATGCTAGTGCAACGATTCTTGGAATTTAATAGTAATAGAAGTGGAACTGATGATGATGGTTATATTTAATGATATCCCATTTTCCCCAGACCAGAACTCAAGGTAGCTTACAGATAAAAATAGAAAAACACAGGCAAAATTGGGGGGGGGGGGAGCTAGAAACAAAAAAGATAATCCTTAAAAAGTAATTAAACACTTACAATATATAAAAAGATCTACAAAAAAAACAGATTAAAACAGCAATAAAAGCACCACAGCACTAGCCCGCTCCTTAAAAATATATAGCTTAACCAAAATACAGGATGGCTGGCAAGGAAAGAAGGATTTCCAAATGAAAAGCAAACCAGACAAGAAGTGGGCATAATTTTGTCAAAAACGGATGCTGCAGAAGAAGAGCAGTGAAAGGCTCACCACAGATGTTATACCTCAGAGAATAAGGCTTAGCGCAACTTCCAGCTGAGGACATGTAATCAATCTTTGTACGAGCTTATTAGTTGCATCTCCCTTATGTTACTCTACCCCAACAAAGAAAACGAAAAGGCACACACAAAATGGGAGGCATCAGTAGGATGATTCAACTAAAAAGCGCTAAAGCTCATGTTTCTGCTACGATTGGTCTCACGGTTGTGTGTTGGAAATGAAAAATCAATGTCAGAAACTAAAAATAATTCCATTCCCCTGCCCCACAAAGCCTGGAAAACTGAAAGGAGCTATTCCAGAACTAACCTAACCCCCTTCTCTCAGTAGCAATCGTATATTTTTCATCCTCTTTCAGAATCCTCAAGTAGTCGCTCCACTAGAGTACTTGAGTGGATCCATGTTCCACTAGGACAAACACCCTGCTCCCCACACTCTGGACTGTGCAGCAGTAATTCAGAAACATCGCTCCTTC